CCCCCCCTACGACCCCCCCGACCCTTCCTCCCTCATCCCCACAATAATACACCCCGTCCCCATCATCGCCGCCCCAACCCACCACAGCCCGCCCACGGCCTCCCGGAACACCACCATCCCCAACACGGCCGTCACCAGGAAATTGGCCGAGGTGTTGGTGATCGACACCTTGGTGGTGGAGGGCGACGCCGTCAGCGCCCGCGTGAACAGCGCCCACATGATGATGTTGCAGAGGATGTTGAGGGCGAGGCAGATCTATTAACGCTCCAGTAATCCCGGTGGAGGCGGGGGAGGGAGTTAGCTTGGTGTTTGTTTACGCGGAGGGTTCGATATACTGTATCGAGATCGGATCCGTGGGGGAGGAGGTGGGGGATGGGGGCCAAGGGGCGAGGGGCAAGGGGAAAGGATCCAGGAATGGGATTAGGGCAGGACATGGCAGGTCAGGGCAGGGCAGGGCAGGAGTAAGGTGACGCACCCCTCGAATAGCCAGCATCAAGATCGGATGGTCATCGGGGTTGGTGGTGGTGCTGCCGACGAGGTGGAGGAGGGAGGCGGCGAAGGTGGTGGTTTGGGTGTCGGTTGTTCTATTGGTCGCGAAACATTAGTCCTCCTCTCGTTCTTCTTCGGGGGGGTGTTATGGAGTGAGGGGATAGTGGTGGAGACAGGACAGGGCTTACAGTTTCGCAAAGAGCCCGTTGAATGCGGCGAAGGCGCCGCTGGAGAGGGCGAGGAGGATCCAGCCGGGGGTTGTCGTCGTGGTGGTGGGTTTAGGTGTGGGGTCGGGGGATGGGTCGGGCATTTTGCGATTTGTATGTCTGGGTAGTATAGATGGGTATATAGAATTATGGATATTAGTCAACAAGGGTCAAAGGTCATTGTATACGCATAGAGATTATGGGTTTGTTGGTGGAGGGAGAGAGCCGGCGCGCCGACAAGGGGGCGTTGGTTATCGGAGGTTCTCTATCTTATCTGATCGATCCATGTTGCCGCATTGGGAGATGCTCGACGTAACGTGGACCTACAGTTCACCCACCTTCTGTCCATATTATTGACAACTCGAGAATCAGTTGTAGAGAGAACGTAAAGAGTACCAAGACCAAAACAGCATCGAGTCTTCATGGCTATACCTCATGCACTATATCGTAACCATAATCTCATCTCATCTAACGCATTGCTCTTCGTCTAATGCTCCCAAATCTCCCCAAATCTACGGCGACAACCGCTCAATCCGCCATCTAGGAGCCCCCACCTCCTCCCCGACCTTCACATACCTGAACCGGTCATGCAAGCGACTCTTCCTACCCTGCCAAAACTCCACGGACTCCGGCACCAGACGCACACCGCCCCAGAACGGCGGCAGCGGAATCTCCTTAACGCCCTCGAAGCGGCGCTCGACCTCGCGCACGCGCTCCTCCAACACCGCGCGCCCATCGTCGATATCCCTCTCCTCGACATTCCTTGGCACCTGATGCAGCGTGGGATCCAGACTCTTACGGCGCCGCTCCAGCAGCGTCTCCGGCTCCGCGCGCCACAGCACCTTGCTCTGCCAACTGGCCCACGCGCCGATCTGGCTGCCCCGCTCCCTCGTGCGCCAGTACAGCTCACTCTCCTCGCGCGAGAGCGGCTCCACGAGGCCCTCGACGCGCACCTGCCGCTCCAACCCGGACCAAAGGAACGTCAACGCCGCCCAGCGATTGCCCCCGCCTCCCCCAAACTCCCCTTGCAAATCCTCGTCCACAGCCCCAGCCCCCGGCTCCGGAATCGGCCGCGGCCCATCATCCTCTTCATCTGTTTCCCCAAAAACATCCCGCCCTTTCCCCTCCCGACTGCCCCAGTTACTGTACACCGTCCACCCGCGCTCATCCAGCTCCTTCAGGTACACGACGCGCGCGCTGACGCGGCCGGACGGCAACGCCGCCGTGGCCAGGGTGCACGTCTCCGGCGCCGAGGCCGGCAGCAGCCGGGGGTCGCGGAACCACGAGTGGAACTGGTGCAGCGGGTTGGTCGGGTGCAGCTGCGAGACGGTCAGCGGCGGGTTCGAGACGAATTGGTGGGCGCGCGCCGCGTGCGCCACCAGGTCTTGCTCGGTGGCGGACGTGGGCGTGGAGGTCTCGGTGCGCAGGGCCGATGCGGCAGATGCAGTTGCGGCTGCGACTGCGGCGGATTCTTCTTGGGTGGCTTGTTTGTTGGCTGCTGAGGTTTCGGGGGTGGCGGCGGCGGCGGCGGGAGGGAGGGGTTTTTCAGTTGAGGGAGGGGGAGGGGTTTCGATGTCGCCTGGTGCGACTTTTGTGGACGTCAGTATGGGGTTTGCGGCGAGGGGGGATGAAGGGTGTGCTTGATGGTGGGAATGAGGTTGATAGCACAAGAGACGTACAGATAAGCTTCTTGGGGTGTTTGGGGTCGGCGGCGCTGGGGGACCTGACCCCGTCCGGTGAGTCAATGTTCATGGCTGATCGTATGGTATTGATAGAGAATTGAGCACGGTAGGTGGTGGAAAGTTGGCTTTGGCCAGTAGAAAGACGACAATGACGATGGAGAACAGTCAGGCGTGCAGATAACCTAGCGAAAGACATAGACTGAATGCTGGCACAACCGACTAACCAAGTTGCATTGCAGGAAAGGGAAGGGAGGAAGACGGAGGGAGAATGCGGAGGACGGCGGGGCAAACGGAGAGCACCGCCGGGTCACGTCACTCGGTTTAATCACTCATTTTAACCCCTCACAACTTACACACTACGTACACCTAAGCACATTTCCCTGGTGAGTCATTTATATGTCCATTGCATAGACACTAGAAGAGGTGGGAGTATTCTATCAAAGAAACAAAAAGAAAAAAAAGAAATCAAAACAAGATGGTATATACATCGCCCAATCCCATTCCTGTAAACGCCAATGCCATACGCTAGATGCAAATCCAACCCATCCCCAGTCATCAAGTTGCCCCCTTTTATATGTTCAATCCGGAACCATCGGCTGGAGTCAGCCCAAAGACAGGGATCCAGCCCTGGAGATAGTATTAAACGACCAACCGAAAGATTGATCGGAAACGAGATAGAAGGCAACTTTTCATGTCGTCGACTCTAGAGAGCGGCGACGGCAGGGACGGTAGTAGCACCACCAGTCCCAACCAAATCAGCGATTTTGCTGGCCACAGCAGGGGGGTAGCCCCGAGAGAGCATCTCCTGCACAATGCGGGCGGCACCCTCGCGGTCATCCGATGCCAAGAACGCACGCGTCATGGCCTCGTAGGTACTGGGCTCGCGCTTCTCAATGCCAATGCTGTCGTAAATAGTCTTGGCCTTGTCCACGCTACCCTCCGCAGCCCATCCGTGGATGAGAGTGTTCGCAATGTAGGCGGTCATCTCAACCCGACGAGCAGCCATGTCCTTCACAATCTCCTCGGACCGGGCGACCTGGTGGTTGGCGACCATGGCCTCGAGGAGGGCTTGATACAGACAAGGCTGAACGCGCACCTTGCGGTTCGACACCACGGAACGGAAGACGTCCATGGCAGCCTCCATATCGTGCATCACACAACCCTTGGCATGGATGAGGGAAGCATAGTGCACAGCCTCAGGTTGCTGACCGGCAGCCTTGATGGTCTCAAGCACCTTCTCCGCCGCGGGCATGTCAATGGGCTCCAAAGAGGCGTGGGCGTCAATGAGCAGCTTGTAGGTGTGCATCGTGGGCTGGATCTTGCGAGTGACCATGCGCTCGAAGTAGGCCAAGACCTTGCTGCGATCGCGCTTGGTGTTGAGGAAGTACTGAATCATAGAGTTGTAAGGGGCAGGGCGAGGCTTGTAGTTAGGCATCGACTCCATCTCTTCGAACATTTCTTCGGCAAACCGTTCATCACTGACACGGCAGAGAGCGTTCACAATGGTTCCGTAAGTGACGCTGGTCGGGCGGACTCCATTGGCGCGCATCTCGGCGAAGTACAGCAGGCAGTCATCAATCCGACGAGCCTTACCGAGCTTTCCGATGAGAGCGTTGTACAGGAAAGATGTGGGCTCAACACCCTCCGCAACGGCGCGGTGGAAGATCTTCAGAGCCTCGGTCGCTTCGTCGAATGTCTTAGTCGATTCCTTCAGGGTCGTGATGTAAAGACCGAACGTGTTGGCCGAGGGTGCAGAGCCAAGCTCCAGCAGCTCTTGGTGGAACTTGGAAGCCTGGCTGCGGTCGCCCAGGCTCAGGCACGAGGCCACCATCGCGTCCAAGATGGAAACCCAACCGTACTTGACGGCATTGTACTGGGGAAGCAAAGGCACATCACGGCGAGCCATGCTCAAAACCTCATGGACCAGATCAACGCGGTTGATCTTCGTCGCAGAAGTAATCAGCTTGGCGTACGTGATGTAGCGAGGGTGACGGCCGCTGCGGCGCATGGTACGGAGGCGAGAGAGAGCCTCGTTCAGGTGAGACTCTAGCTGGCCGGTGGTGCTTTCCAGTTCATCAGCGATGATCGAAGATCCGCGGAAATCGGTGGCGTAGGCATAGGGGTCGAATGAGTCCTCGTTGGACACAGGGGTCATCGAGGTCAGATCGGATCCGGGAGAGTGACGACCACTGACGAAGGACGAAGGGCTAGAGGTCATGGCAAGATGATCGTGCCATCTCTTAACCATGTCCGGGCGGCTGTTGAACAGCTTACCCACGGCTTGGTCGACCATCTGGGTGGTGGTAGCATCCATCGGCAGGCCAGTGGCCAGAGCGAGGTCGAGCATGTGGGCGAAGCGGATGGGGTGAGCCACGTCGAACATCGCGCTGTTGTTGAGAAGCATACCAGCCTGTACCTGGAGAGCCAGCATGAGGTCGCGGGCATTCAACTGGGAAATGCCGATCGGACCCAAGCTTGCCACTACATGCTCAGCGACCGGGGAAATGAGGCCGCCATTCTCAACCATTGACCACATGAGAGACATGGCAGCTGGAGAGGAGAGAACAGCCGCAGTTTGGACAAGAACGCGACCGACAAGGTGAAGACTTTCGTTGACCTGTTCGCGAATATGGTTGAGGGTCAAGTCGGTCGAGGTACTGCGAATCCGAGCAAACATATTACGAGCTTCGACCAGAGCCTCTTCGATCTGACCACTCTTCACGAGGGCGACTGCATACATAGCGGTCGGCTGGACCATGTCCGGGGTTGCCTGACCGGCAGTGTTCAGGGCGTGCCACAGGGTCCGGGCGGCCGACACATTGCCTTGACGTACATGGAGGGCCAGCAACGAGACCGCGGGCCTCTGGCGGACGCTCATGTCGGTGGGGAGAGAATCGTATGCTTCGGAAGCTGTCTGCAGATTACCCGCATCCGCCGCGGCGATGCAGATCTGCGACATGGCATGATCCAGCGCGTTATCGTGCAACCGGGTCTTGGCTTGCTCCAATGCCCGACCGTGCTCCCCCGACTTAAGGGCATGACGCACCAATCCGTCCTCAGCAATTACCGATTCGACGGCGTCCTGGCGGGCCTCACGGTTTTCTGTCACATCGTGGAACGACTCTTGGATCCGCTCCAGGAACCGAAGAGCTTGCTCTTCCTTTCCGCAGGAAAGGTAAGCACGGACCAGGGCGGCGTAGACCTGCCCATCCAAGCGCTGAACAATACTAAAGGTGCCGTTGTCGTCCGAAACAGCCAGAGCCTTGTACTCGTTGTAGCACTCGACAGCGCTCTTCAAGTCCCCCGTCGAAGCAAAAGCATCAATCATGGCCGGGAAAATCGAGGCATGTGGGGTCACCTTGTGTGTTTCCATGTGGGCGTAAACGCAGACCATGTCCTCAACCAGACATTCCTTGGCACACGCGGTGATCAGGTAGCGGTAGGTGTCGAGAGCGAAAACGAACTCGGGGTGACGGGTAGTGGCAGTGCGGAAGAGCTTCATGGCAATGGCAAGAGAGTGATCCTCGGCAAGAAGAGCCTGCTCCAACTCACTGGAGTGTAGCATGAACTTGCCAGGCTCCTCCATACCACCGTACCGGGCACGGTCCTGCTCCAAGAGATCCTTGGACTTGATGGCATCATGGGCGCGAACGACGAAAAGCTGTACCAAAGTCTGGTAGGTCTGCTCATCGGGAATTACCCTACGACGAAGCATGTCCGAGTAGATGTCCAGAGCCTTCTGGATCGCCTGGGCAGTGTCCCCATGGAGCTGGATCGCCGACTCCAACAGGGCATTGTAGGCCCCGACGGTCGGCGTCAATCCATCCCGAAGAATAGCGGCGAAGGCACCCGGAATATCCGCATATTTCCTGCCATTGGCTAGTTCGACGATATGTTCGGAAGCAATGCGAGACTGCTCGACGTTCGCATCCTCCACAGCAGCAACATCGGCGGGTAAATCGGGAAACGCTTCGGTGTCGAGATTGTCCTTGGTCTCGGAAGCCTCCTCGGCCTGCGCTTGTTCTTCTTGGATCTGGATCTCGCGGGCAACGGCTTCTTCGACCTGAGCACTGACATCGTCATTGGCGGAGGCTTTGGTGATGTGAGGTGACTCGTGGAATTGGGAGTCCGAGGATGGAAGGCTGGCTTCGTTCTTCGTCTTTCCTTCTTCTTCGTTCAACGTAGGCTTCCAACCGATTCTCCTCCGCATCTGCAGCTGCTTCCAGTCACTATCATCTCCGGTTTGCTGAGCATGTTGCCATGCAGCGTAGTAGGCCGCTAAACCCAGATCCCCAGAGCCGGAAGTTCCCTGGCTGGCCTTGGCGCCTGCACCGGAGCTAGAGGGCTGGAAGACATTCTGTAATTGAGTTGTTCTCGTGAACTTGGCGGCGGGCTGACTGGAAAGGGTGTTTAATGTAGTCGACGACGCGTACGAGGACTGCGAGGCCGCAACTACCGACTGAGCATAGCCATGTGTGAAGGCTTTGGTGAAACTCTGGCGCGCGAGGTGGGTGAACGGCTTGAAGACCATTTATCTTGCGGGAGACCTCTTCAGAGGGAAGAGGCAATGCTGGAATTGAAGTCAGCAGCGTCCTGTGTTGATTGTTGTTTTTCCCCCCGAATTTTTTTTCTTTATCGTGATTGATGCACAACTATTCGCCTCCGACTCTCCGCCTCCCAATCGGGTAATTCGTACCTTGCAATCAAAATAATTATAACTATGCAGGTTCATTTGACGACTGCTGGTCGCCAAAAGAACGCGCGGGAAAAGAAGGAAGGGGATGATCGCGAAAGGGAAAAATAATCAGTGGCTTGAAGCCTGTGTGTGAATGAAGAGCAAACAGAAAAGTACGAGGCCACACTGGGAGAGGGAATTGATCGGTATTTCAGAGCCCGGGGAGAGAAACTGATCGGTATCGCCGGGGTTACTCAATCGGGTCTAGCGCAGATCCCACTGCCACTTGGCCTGTTTGGGCATAGGTACTTTTGTCACTTCCGTGCTGACCAATGCAATTCCACACTTTGATTGGCTTTTTCAATGGATTTTTGATAGGTCTGAGAATGGGTTCCAAGGGAGGATTTCAGCGATAAACGGAGCCCTGAGCTGGAATTTTTTGTGGCATTGGTGGGTGGATTGGTCTAGTCTATAGAACGCGTTTGATATATGCATGTATGTAGCTACTGTCTCTGCACTTCGTACTGCGGGATTTAAGTAGCGCAGGCGTCAACCTGCAGCGTGCAGTCGCTGATCTGATAGAACAGGACAACTGTTGTTTTGAGCAACAAACTAGGTAATGATGGTGCGCGAAAAAAAAAAAAACTTCCTGTGTTGCAAAAAATAGCAAAGGAACCATCGCCACTAGATGAAGGTACGTCAGGTTTCGAGAATGGTCGTTGCCTGAGGCGAAATAGGGGAGCATAGGGAAGGATTCCGCGTGTCAGGTGGCCTCATTGACTTTCTCAGTTCTCGCTGCGGCCCCGGATTGCAACTCTGACCCAATCGGGTGGATCAGAAGCAGAGCTGGACCCCTGGCCGTGAATCCGTGACTCACTGTTCTTCCGGCTCTTTTTCTTCGCAGGGGCCGCAATGTCCCCCCCCCGGAGTTTGCAGGCTGGCCTCCGAATGGTTTGGTTGTACGGGGGGGGCGCGGATTCCCGGCTGGCCGAAGCACCGAACATCGCTGGAATCCGCTTGGCCACGGATACGAAAGGCTTTCGATTGTTATATCCGTTCCAAATCTCCGTCTGTCCGTTCCGTGGACTGTTCGCCGTCTCGGTGACGGTGACACTGTGCCCGATAAACGCTCTTCTGGTTTTTTTTTTTCGAGACCACCCCTGGTTTGTGGGCGTCCTTGGAATCTCGAAGTCATGTAAAGAGGATGGATGGAAGCCCCCGGATGCAGTAAGATTCACATGGTGAGGCAGCTGCCGTTATTGCTGCGCCTTCCACGTAACCAACTGTACGGAGTATTCCCAGCTGAGATAGTGGTCCGTGGTCGGTCATTAGCCAGGTAACGGAAGTTGTGAGTAGCTTCGATGCTCTGCTCGTACCATGTGCGTAGAAGCATGCCTGGTAACGTAAAGCGTGGAAGGATGAGATGAATTGATGGGGTAAGAGGACAGGCTGCCGCAAATTGACACCAGGAATGGCAGGCATCAACAGTGGGTGAATCCAGCCCACCACCAGCCACAGAACCAGCCACAATTCACCACTGGTCTTCCAACTGGAAGATCCGCCCAGCAACAGTTAATCCCAGAGTCAACAATGGAGAGAAAAGAATGATGACCTTGAGAGAATCATGATGAGACGATTCTTGAAGTCTTGCTGACATGGACTAAACACCCTTCACCCTAATTCCAGCTCCAAGCATTGTCACACCCGGGCGAATTTGCAGATAGCAACATGAACTGACTGCATATTGAACCCCTCATCAATCTAAGTTGACTACCGGGGCGGGGCTTGTCACAAAGATCGTCTCTCCCTTAAACGGATCCATTGCGAAGAAGCTGATTGTTTTGCCTTTTCACCATTCTATCTTGACCATTCAGTTGACCCCCCTCACTTGTCCGTGATAAGTCAGTTTGCAAACGGTATGTAAATAGTTCGATCTACTCCCATTAGTCGTATAGCTCCGGTCCGTTCCCCCCACACTACAGCCTAAGGCGAACTGGTTCCATTGTTGACACTGCTCCTTCTCATAGTACTCTTGAACCTGCCCCACGATCTATGACCTCCCTTCCCACGATTTAGCATATCCACAACACGACCATAGCGTCCTCATGTCTTACATCCCTCCGACCGTCACGGCGGTGTCCGCCCCGGGCAAAGTCCTCCTGACCGGCGGCTACCTGGTCCTCGACCGTAACTACACAGGCACCGTCTTCGCCCTCGACGCTCGCATCCATGTCATTGTCGAACAGCTGAAAAAATACCACCGGAAGAGCTCATCCACGGGGTCAGGACAAGCGGAGAGCACACCAGATAGCAAGGAGAGTGAAGACATCGTCGTGGTTCGGTCCCCACAATTCGTCGACGCAGTCTGGGAGTATGGTGTACACCGGTGCGAGAATGGCGGTGGGATCAAAGTGATACAGAAGGGCCAGGGGTAAAACTCTCCCCAGGAAACTGTCAGTCAGGAGCCTCTCAAGCTAATCCCTGCCTCCATGAACCAGACGGCCCAACCCTTTCGTCGAGACCTCGCTCAACTACGCCCTGACCTACATCAGCTACGTCGCCGGATCGAAAGACTTCGGCTCCCTCTCCATTACCATCCTCGCCGACAACGACTACTACTCGGAGACGGCCTTCTCCAAGATCTCCGGGCTGCAGTCCCCCGGCCGCTTCGTCAACTTCGGCGTGCCCCTCCACGAGGCACACAAGACGGGACTGGGATCCTCCGCCGCGCTGGTCACCGCGCTGGTCTCCGCCCTCGTCATCCACCGCACCCTGCAACCCGACGACCTGGGTCCCGCGCGCGACAAGCTCCACAACCTGGCGCAGGCGGCCCACTGTGCCGCCCAGGGCAAGGTCGGCTCGGGCTTTGACGTCGCCGCCGCCATCTACGGCTCCTGCCTTTACCGCCGCTTCTCGCCGTCGATCCTCGAATCCGTCGGCGACGCCGCCACCCCCGGCTTCGAGGAGCGCCTCTTCGCCATCGTCGAGGACGTCGACCCGGCCCACCGCTGGGACACGGAGTGCCTGGACTTCGGCATGAAGCTGCCGCGCGGCATGCAGATGGTCCTCTGCGACGTCGAATGCGGCTCGAATTCGCCCTCCATGGTTAAGAAGGTGCTGGAGTGGCGCAAGCAGAACCCCCAGGAGGCCGACCTGCTCTGGACCGCTCTGCAGACCAACAACGAGCACCTCTGCCACGAGCTCAAGACCCTCTCCCAGAACGCCGCCGCCGCCGCCGGCAACCAGGACAGCGGCAGCAGTGGCTACACCTTGGCTGATTTCGGCGAGGTGCGCAACCTCATCCAGCGCTCCCGCGGCCACATCCGCAGCATGACCGCCAAGTCGGGCGTGCCGATCGAGCCCAAGGTCCAGACCGAGCTGCTCGACGCCATTTCCGACCTCGACGGCGTCGTCGGGGGTGTCGTCCCCGGCGCCGGTGGGTATGATGCCCTTGCCGTGCTGATCCAGGACTCGCCCGAGGTCATCAAGCGGCTGGAGGACTCCTTCGCCTCGTGGGAGAGTAAGGTGGAGGATGACTTCGGCGGGAAGATCGGTACTGTCCGGCTGCTTGGCGTCCGGCACGGGTCGGCTGGAGTGCAGAATGAAGGCTTGGACCAGTATTCTGGGTGGGTTTGAGGATGGTGCATCACGAGCGAGTGACCCATCACTACCGATCTCGTAGATACTCCAGACGAAAGGACGAAGCACGAAACACGAAGGAACACTATCGTACCACGACAGGCACGCATGGTCCACATGAATATCAGACATTATCTAATTCTTCAGGCGCCAACTGGTCTTTGCCCTTACTTTACATAAATCTTAATTTCCACGAATATTGAGGGTTGTTTTCCTCCAGCTCTCTTCTCTTCCTTCCAGAAAGGGACAGCTCGTTCTCGCCCCAGGAGCAGCGTTCCTTCCAGTTTGGGGCCTTGCTATTCGCTTCAAGTTCCAGGCAGACCAACGTAGAGTACCAGCCCATACGGCGTCACACTGCCCCCCTTCCTCACCCCACACCACATATGCTCTCCGGGTATCCGAACAATCTAGAACCCGAGATCCTCCAGATCTCCCAACCCAGACGCATAGAACAAACTCGCGATATCAAGATCAAGATCCTACACAAACCCGCAATTAGCTTTAGCTTCCAAACACACCCAGCGTTGCCCTCCCTTCCCTCTCACCACGCAGCACCACCACCGGCAAGAAACCAGAAGAAACTTACAGCATTCAACTCCAAACCGGGCAGCCCGGACGGACTTCCCAGGCTTGACCCCACCGCCGTCGTTCCCGTCATCATAGCCGCAACCTCCGCAACCTCCCCTTCTCCGTGCGCCGTCGCCGCCGCAAAGCTCTGCAACGCAGCGTAGCACTCCTTCAGGCTGAGGACCAGCGACGCGCCGACGGCCTCCTCGACGGAGTCGCCCGTCTCCATGGCGCGGATCTGCGCCAACATCGCCGAGAGGACGATACAGCGCTTGAGACTCGGGGTGCCGAGGCGGATGATCTGGAAGATCTGGTCGCGGATGTGCTCGAGGGTTTGGATCAGGGGGGCTCGGGTGGCGCGGGCGAGCTCGGCGAGGGGGTTTCGAGTCATTGCTCTTGCTGTCAAGGTGGCGGCGGAGGCGGGGGGCTGCGAAGAAGGAGGAGGAGGAGGAGGAGGGGATTCGTCGAGTTGGGTAATCACTTCTAGTCCGAGGATGGAGAAAAGTTCCAGGCTTAAGGGGCCACGGAACGAGCCGCGGCCGGAGATGAGGAGACGGGCGAAGGCGTCGAGATCGGTGGTGGCGGGGAGAGTCAGGGTGCTGGCGTAGGATGCGATGATCATGGCAGATTCGAGGCAGACTTTGCGCGAGAAATGATACTGGGGGTTGGTGGCTGCTTCACGCATGAATGGGAGGTGGAGGAGGAGGATGTATCGGCGGAGGATCATGTCAAGGAATTTGTGGTGGAAGGAGGCCGGGTGGAGGTCGCTGTTGGTGTGCTGGGATTGTTGTGGATGCTGAGGGGTAGTGGGGGACAGGATATGGGAGGAGAAGAAATTAGTTAGGGTTTGGCAGACATCACGGAGCTTGGAACCCAGCTGAATAGCTTGGGTGAACGTCAGATTTGAACGGTCATGGATGAGGTTGACGGCTTCAGCACGGAGGGAGAAGGATTCATGAAGCAGCAATTGGATGGAGGAGTCCGTCAGTTCGGACATGGGTCGGGCTGTGGTTGCTTGTTTCATGTCAGGGTCAAGGTCCTTGTCGTTAAGGTTGCAAGGGGGTTTGCTGTCAGATGAAGCGGGGATGATCAGTGGTACAGCGGTGTCCAGGGAGCATTGGATTGTGAGCTCTAGAACGGTTGTCCATAGACGTGCACGCATTTCGGCCATGTAGGGTGACAGGCTGGGAAATCTGGCAGAGTCCAGATGCAGGCCCATGGCCGTGGCCGCCTGCAGAAGAGACCCCGGTGACAGCCAGATAGACGGTCCCAGGTCTCCCATCTGACGGGCGAGAAGAAGCAGACAAACGGCCTGAATACCCTCTAGGCTCGATGTCAACCGTTCCGTTGGCCCAGTGAGCCACCACTGAGCTGCGTATATCCAGGACTGAACCAGCCGCGAGTCATGTTCAGTGCCTGCTTTGCTTCGCCGTGGATGAAATGTAGTCCCTATAGCGAGTACCAAGGTCAATTTAACAAGGTAAGGCGTGACCTTGGCGGGAGGTTCCTTCCAGAACCGATGATACTCCTTTCGAAAACTCGGCAAGTGAAGGATTCGATACACAGGCTCGAAAGTGTCCATGTAACAGCGCACCAATTCGTCGCACACATCTTTTGCGGGTATCGAATTGAGCAGGTCTGACACAGGGTCATTCGGTTTCAGAGACTGTCTCTTTTTGACTGACTTGCGGAGGTTCCGGCATTCCTTGATGAGCGTCGCCAGTTCAGCTTTGCGCTCCGGATACGCAGACTGCGGGTCTTTGCCTGCGAGGGAACCGAGCATGTGAAGCTGCTAGCTGATGAGTTACGGCTCGTCACGGAGTCAGGTTTACCCCATACCTTCTCCAATGTATAGACATGATGAGTCGGACCAAACAGCTTCATCTTTCTCACTTTCGCATCCAGCCGCAGAGGTGTCGAAGGCATAGTCGACATCTGTTCCTGCCTTCCATGCCCTTCTCTTTCCGGCTCCATTCTCGGGGTAGAATGCGTGGCTTGCGACGACAGCCGTTCCTCCAATGCCTGGACCTTGCAGCACAGATCTCGCAAGGTTCGCTCCAGAGATTGATCCGACCCAGTCGATGAGTTCGCCAGCTGCGCCTCTAGACGTTGCATCCGGTCCTGGAGCTGACGAACCGATGAACCGTGTTGCGAATTGGCAGGCGGGTCCTGTGTGTGAACTAGTCCATTTACTGAGTTCCTTACTTCAGGGTGATAGAGTGATGCCACAGTCGCATTAGCTGTCAGACTTGGTGGTTGCGTCTCCTGAAGGACATGATTAGCTGGACCCGCAGTCGAAGCACTCAGTTGCGTCGCATGCAGGGACGTCTGCTCAATCGCGACTGGGCTCGGGGAACGGAGGTTCTCCCGATATGAACAGTCCACTGAGGACCGCGAGCGCCTACAGGGACCACAGGGGACATTGCGGTCACATCGGACTTTGCGCTGGCGACACTGCTCGCATGATTTGGCCGGCCGACGGCGTTTGCGAGGTTCGGAATCGGCCGTGCTTGCTTCAGGCGCTGGCCGATTCATGTTTTGTTGGGACTGAAGGATCCAGGGCTCCTGCCATGCTCTGATGAAGTATAGATCCGACCCACTCTGGGAAGAGTAAAGGGATTGAATCACATGAATTGGTGATATCCAATGCTAGGTTACGGGGTGGTTCGTAGTTCCCAGTGCTTAGTGTAGATCGCCGTTCGGGTTCGGTCCCGCTGACAGCACGTGTCTTGTGTCCCGGCCCGGCCTGCACGGTCGAATTCGGCAAGTGCTTCAGTATACCTAGTAGTGCAGTGACTTCTCAAGTGTCGAAATAGTCATCATAAATGTTTGTGATTCAAACAATTGACTGTCTCATCTTATCTCTATCTCTCTCAATCATAATCACCTCTTGCCAGGCGTTAGGTCGACTCATTTTACCCTAAAGGAGTGCAGGCACCGGCCAATCCTTAGTATCTCACTGGACCGAACTCAGACCTCACGATCATCCTATACGATATGAAAGGCTGTTACCCTCCTTTAATATCACAGGACTACTCTACACCGTCAAGTATGTACAGTACAATACCACATATCAACCATCGCGGGGACAACCCAGGGACGAACGAACAACATAATCCATATCATGAAATCTGTGACCCCAGATTCCCTCCCCCTCAACTCAAATCAAGACATAACCATCATGTACACGACAAAGACACACTCCACCCCCTCCTTACCTCCAATCTGAGCTGGCATATGCACATACTCGCATGCACCGTACCGAGGCTGCCGTGGCTCTCTCTCTCTCTTTCACCCCTTCAGGGAAGAAACTTGGCAAGCCAAAACCTAAACAAGCAAGCAACAACAACACCGACCCAAGAAAAGACCAAGACCAAGACCAAGACCAAGAAGGCTTAATGCGACGACTGGACCTAAGAAAACCAACCAACAAAGTTTGAACTCAGTCTTTCTTACTGCAAGTAAAAACCTACCACCCTCAGCATTCCACACGAATCTTTCCATTCCAGAGCAAACAGACCCTCCCGAGTCTAATTGCGCTGCTGGCCACGTCCTGAACTGCATCCGTCTGGAAGAGTTGAAGACACTGACGTAACTTAGCGTGCTGCTGTTTGTATTGTAGATCACATGGGTGATCTCACTCCGTGGAGAGTTGCAATGAAGGATTCGTCGCAAATGCAACTGCAGGTTTCTTTCTCTATACGTAGATGGTCGATATGAAGAAGCCTGGGCAATGTCGAAAAAATTAAACTTTCGCTGGCATGCTTGGGCCAGAGATAAGCTTGGAAGGGTCGAAACAAAAACCATCTATCCGGTCGGGTGTCGCCGCATGCAGTGCACTGAGGTCTTGCAAGATCTTGCTGTAGTCTGTGTGTGGACTCGGTACTCTTTCCAACTTGGTTGTTTTGAGGAGTGGGGATGATTAAGGAATCAATGGGAGGTTTATCTACTAGGACATATGGACGGATCTGAGGAGAGAAAGAATCTCAATGAAGATGGAATCTAGTAGTTGCTCTATTGAAGCAGAACATAAAACGCAAAACTGGTATATACATGACCACACCTATAACCTGTATCCCTGGACAAGACAGGCGAGTCCATGACTGCTTGATATCCACATCCCACCTCGTAGCAGTGAAATCTTGTCCAGAAAAGAGACTTTTTTCGCTTTTGAAGCCTTTTCTAGCTCCTATGCATCGACGAAGGATGAGCCCAACACATCACACACACGCACGCACGCACGCACCTATCCTGCACCAGGCAAGGACACGTAGGCAAGGTTGGCCAGCAACTGGCCTCGGCAACACTTCAAAAATCAGAGAACAAACAACAAAGAGGTATATAATTCATGTTGCGAGGCATATCATCATAAATGTAAACTCTCATGCGCTGCTGCAATTCCCCTTACAGCTGAGTGGGCTGGAACTGGGAAAACTCTTCAGACTGGGGAGGGTTCTTCTCGGCAATCCGCTCCTCAGCCTTCTCCTCGTCACCGAGGATGCCATATTCGGCCGCCTTGGCTTCGATCTCATTATCAGTGAGCTTGGGCAGCTCCTTGGCCGCACGGACGTAGCTCATCTTCTCGACATAGCCCTTGGCGAAAATCAAATCGATCTCTTCCAGACTGCGGTTGGCGGTTTCGGGGTAGAAGAACCAAATGACAGGGATGAAGAGGGCGTTCCAGGCGGCGAAGAAAAGATAAGTTCCCCAACCGATACTGCTGACCATCACAGGCGTAATCATAACCACGGTGAAGTTGAAAAGCCAGTTGCTGCAGGTCGACACCGCATTGGCTTTGGACCGGGTCTTAAGAGGAGAGATTTCGGCAGGGTAGAGCCATGGGAGAGGCAACCATGTAGCACCGAAGAAGCACATGTACAGGAAGAATCCAAAGATAGCTCCCTTAGCACTCTCCGCATCGCCCGGAATCAAACAGGCAAAGACGATGATCATCGCAGCGCATTGACCGTAGCTGCCGGCGAGGAACAGCTTGCGACGACCGATCTTTTCGATAAAGAACCACGAGAATGTGGCGAAGATTGCGTAACAGATCATGTTAATACCGCCAATCAGAAGCGCGAAGTTGTGGGACTGGTGGATAGAATCCTCCAATAACACGGGCAAGTAGTAGATGACCGCGTTGCAGCCAGAAATCTGCTGAAAGAACTGAGATGACGAACCGACCAGCATGCGGCGGAAGTGCTGAGAGGGACCACCGGTAAGCAAATCGCTGAACTTAGCATGGGAGTTTCCGGACCTGGAGGGTAAGGTCAGTTATCAAGGCATCTGCAGATCCATCATCGAGGCCACTTACGCTCGGACAGAGTCCAGGGTGAGATTCTTCTCCAGCTGGACGTGGGGGTGGTCGATTTCCTCGCCTGCGAGGGCAGCAAGGACCCGAGTACCTTCCTCGACCTTGCCGTGGGCGATCAAGTAACGAGGGGACTCGGGAAGTTTCCACATGCCGAAAATGATGATGAGCCCAAAGAAGATTTGGAAGGCAATGGGAAAGCGCCAGACCAGGTCTTGGGGACCATAGTGGGCTCCATAGTCAATCCAGTAAGCGATCATGGTTCCAATGGCGATAATGCCTCCCTCAATACAGATAAGAAGACCACGGTTGCTAGTCTTGGAGCACTCGGCTTGATACGTTGGAATAGTCGACGTGTTCATACCATTGCCGATACCAGTGATCACACGGCCGAAGATGAACTGCAGCAGTGGGATCGAATTGGGCATGGCAGTGACTTGGATGATCACACCGATGATCATCACGGTTGCACCCCAGATGACCATAAGACGCCGCCCCAACTTTTCACCGCAAATCAAGGCGAAGATGGCACCAAAGAGACAGCCTGTGTCCTGCGGGTTAGCTTGCTAGTCGCTGACCTGGCACCCAGCTCAAGTCACTCACCGACTTCATAGACTGCAGTAACCGTTGCTTGCATGACCGAATCACCCTTGGTGGCAGTGAACATGTCGTTGAAAGCAGGATCAGAGATAATACCTGACATGACACCCTCTGCGTAGACTGTAAGCTTCAAGATTCATAAAAGGCCTGAAGAAATTACGTACGGTCATAACCAAAGAGCAAGAAGCCCATAGTCGCAATTGTTGATATCGCGAGGCCGAGTCGCCGGCCCGTAAAGCCGGCATATGTGGGAGGCGCCATGATGAGAAAGAATGTTACGATGCCAGAATGATAGAAACTTGTATGTGGAACCCAGGGGAGAAATGGGGTATATAGATGAATAGGAAGAGGAGGAGGAGGAGTAGAGTGAGGGGATGAAGAGAGAATGGAAGGAGAGATAAAGAGAAGATTAAAGATTTGAAAGAATATGCCAGCAGTGCGAGAGGACTACGTGAACTTAAGAATCTGCGTACTGCATGCGGCAACGAGCGGTGGAGCGCTCGCTACCTTTTACGCTTGATCCAAAGAAGGTTACCCATGGGGAAAAGATTGGAGCCTTGGAGGTGGCCCTCCACTCCCCACGTCCTATGCCATGACCCTGACCGTCCCATGGGCATTCCTTTTCGAAATGTTTTTCCGAATGTTCAACCCCAGCTGACATCACCGGGGGGGCCTCGCTACGACGGGCAGGCAGTGGGACAACACTAAGAACAGTAAGAGGGCGCCGCTTACCGAAGCAGCGTGAAGCCCGTTCGGTAACGGACTTCGGGATGAAGTATGTGGTGGTTTCGGACGGAGGAGGGTAGAGGAGGGATGAGATATGATGTGAGAATGATGCATTCCAGGTGGAAAGATCGTCAACGGACAGCAAATGATGTAACTGCACAGCGGCCGATAAGCGGGACGACCCACTGGATGTTATCCGGAAATGTAAGGTACCCACTCTTTCGGTGGCGGCAAGGCCTGTAAAAGTGTAGATGCTGCCATGGCTGCAAGCCTGCAAGAATCTCGCTGGATCTTCTTGAAGATTTTTTAGCTTCTTATCCAAAGAAAGCCAAGTTTGAGGGACCCTTTCACGATCTAATGGTGGTTGAGTACCCACTCCTCTTTCACGGGCTCCACTTCCCACACGCCCACGGGCCTTCATGCCCAGGTGCTGTGATGCAGGCCACGGCCACGAGTAAGCTTCAACACGACTGGAGATTTCTTGCAGCAGTCCAACCAGGAATCTTTCCGAAGCTTTCCCGATCATACTATTGGCTGCAACCTAAACCGTCTTAGGAGTATGCCGGCAGCGCAGCATTGGCTTGCTGAGCGTAACAAGAGCGCAGTGCCAATGGGACGTGGGCAACTTTCTGCACAATGCGCTCATTGTTCGGGTTCAAATTGTCGGGCTTGGCCATTAGGAAGGCAAACTATGAGAAGTGCCACCGATTAGTCTAGGGGATAATTCGTAGGCCAACAAAAACCGCATCATCTTACCTCAAGCCAGTGGATGATTCGAACGTTTTTGTACCGGGTGTCAAAATGCATGCCTTGTGGCCTTGCTGGATCAGAATGAAGATGACAAACGGGTATTGGAAGTTGGAGACTGAGTTCGGTGTGTTCCGTGTCGCCATCGTGCGGCGATCGGCTTCGTGCCTCGGCATCCCCGACCGCCTTGGCGGTGATATAATCGTCCTTCTCAATGTATGCTGGGTGTTCTTCCGTGTCGGCTCGTCTCAACGCCGTCGTTGACACCGGTCCTGCCATTTTCTCGTAAACTAGGCTTCGTTTGAAAGGGCCACTGCAGCAAGTTAGACCATCCCGCTGGTGGTACTGCACATCTTCCGAGACAAATATTTGCAGCCCACGGAACTTGGCGCGGCCCAGCTCTGTGTATGACACGATGACAGGTAAGGAGTCCCCAAGAGGTGCCCCTCGCCTCGAGACTAGAATATCCGACTGTAAAAGATGTTTCCAAGCGCGAGCGACATATATCGGTTCAGCATCGTCCACGAAATCTTCTGCGGGACAATGAACGACGGTAATGGGTTTGCTGCAGGAGAATGGGCGATTTAAGAAGCCCGGTCGTTCAATGGAGGCTCGGATCCAGTACCGGACCTCACTCTGCCGGATGTGAATAGATTCAGGCAGATGGGAGCGCAGGACCATCTCAAATTTGAATGTGTGGGTCCCGGGTGTCAGTCGCTGATGTTTAGACCCTGTGTCCTGCTCTTCACGCCCGTTCGATCCCACTCTAGCCGAGATCGCACTCCATAAGGTGGTCCCTTTGTGCGCCTGTTGGTATGACGATGTTTCCTGAATTGAGTCAAGGTAACACGGAAGCACCGGGTCTGTCGCCTCGGGACCAAGCAGTATCAATGTATTGTCGGTCACCGTACGGCGTTCGCGAATACCTGTTGAAGCAATTATAGTTTAGACAAATAGCCAACTCCGGAGGGAAGTTTCTAGTTTCTAGAAACCATATATTGTTCTCACCATGTGGCCACACGATATGGCTTGTACCGCGCAGGTTGACGGTCAGTCGCTTCACTGTCACAGCTTCTTTCGCCGTCAATCGACATTCACCACGGAGAACTGCTGGCTTGTCTGATAAGGTCGGGGCGAATAAGGCTGGCTCGGTGATATTCAATTCCAGGCTCAGGCCACTGGCATCGCCTTGAATGGGGACTTCCTGGGTCGACTTGCGCGGTGTCGAGAATGGCGATCGAAGCATTTCCTTGGGAAGGGCAACCCCTCGCTGGAACTTGAGAGCGATAGATGGTGTTGGTTGGCGAAGCATGCAGTATGCTTGATGGTTGCGTTCCGTTATATGACATTGTAGTGTGGCCATATGACCTCAACTTATATCAGGATGAAGATCAGCCCATTACATCAGAAAGGACTGAGTAAGGATCGGTCAACACATACGGATATCAGGTTCTAGACTATTGCATGACAGGTCGAAATCATTTGCTGTCCGCTTGATCGTTGCAGCCGACCCCCGCCTGCACCGCGTCCGAAGGATCAATCGTAACTTAATTTAAAGTGCTCGCGGCTTGGATGCCATCGATTTCTCCGGATACGATGTTCGTTCTTTGAGTCCTACAGTTAAATACCTCGTGTTTGTCGAGTTGGAAGGTTGGTCTCCAGCTCTGATCATCATTGTGGACAATGATCGTCTTTGACGAAGATTAAGGCAAGAATGATGTCACATAGATCTGATTGGGAGGGCCGGTCACTGGATGGTTCAAACACATACAAGACCAAGCAACACCCATGGATTGCCTGACATATTCACAAACATTCAGGCGGGGTGTTGAGAAGCAGAACTCATGGATCTAGATTTAACCTCTCGTGTTCGTGTGAGAAGCCAGACCGTCCACGTGCGCAGTCCCTTCGTGATGGTGAACGGGTCAGGCGATGGTGATAAGAACGGTTCTCGCCTACAGCCATCGGTCTAGAGCGGAGAAAACAGGCGTGGCAACTATTGAAAGAGGGGGGAGTACTTTTGGACGAAGATCATCTACTCAGTAAGCGAATAGAGCCCTGGAGGAACAACAAGGGTTAGCGTCCATACTAGACACTAGTGTCACTGTCAACTTTCCTCATGGAGGCAAAAAAGAACATCGGTCTTGTTCTGCCTTGGTAAATCAATGCTCGGTAGTGATAGAACCAAGGCCTCTTCCGTATGTTCTGCGACAGTCGGAGAAATATGATAAGGAGGTCAACCAAGAATGCATGGTGCCATTGCCATGGCGTGACTTCGGGAGTTTTGGTGGCCCAGAATGGATTCAAATCCGTTCTGCCGCTTCAGCTGTGATCTGAATCATCATGTGACTCATTCGTTTCTCACGGCAATCAGGGTCCAATTCGAGGGCTGGAAGCAATGCTCTACGTACTTCATACAGTACTTGAAGGCTAGGCGAGGTCGTCGTTGTGGGATATATATAGTAACGACGAGAGCTAAGCAATGCCTCGTAGCGGGTCTTCCGGTGTCGATTCCCCAGTTTGGTTCTTGGTATCAAGATCTGCACCACGTCCACGGTCTGTATCTGGGTATTGCAGCGATCAAGAGACGTCTGTAATATGCATATTGTTGACGATAGTCGATTGATACTATGAGGGAGGCCCAGCGCGAGTTTGACACCGATACATACGAGCTTGACAGGTGTCAGTGTCAGTGTCGCTTTTGGAGTAGATGCAGGATCTCTGACAGCACGCCAGCCACTCTAATCTTCCAGAACGGCAGACAGGGACTGTTGGACTTTGTCGAATAGATCATGATAATTGTCATTACAGAAAGTCCGAGAGAAGCCGAAAAGAAGGAGAAGAACAGGCAGCGAAGCATCGATTGAAACGATCTGTGAATCTGAATCTGGCCCACCGAAACATGCTGAACTGACAAATTGGTACTCCGTAGGTAGACACTGGGCAGACTAGACTAAACTCCGTTTGAGGCCGGGCGCGCCCAACCGGATCGCCGCCCGCCTGGAACATCGACTCTAGGCTTTCTCCCCTCCCCCCCTTTCCTTAATTTCTCCCGTCTTGAAGTTGCGCTTCTTTCCGGCAGTCACGGGGGCGGTTCTTCTCTCCTTCTCCCTCCCTTTCCCTCACCTCATCGTCACTGACGAACCACTATCACCATCATCCACCCACGATCCGCTATCGATCTCTTTTGTGACTCTTTACTCCCACTCTATTTATTGGCAATCTTTTATAACCTTTTAGTATATATCTTTTAACCTACTGTCTTGTTTGAGTCCCTCAGGAGGCGTACTTTAGAGTTTTGTCTGCCTCCTTTTGCTGTCATCGCCTCCCTTCCTCTACGCCAACTGCCCGCCTCCTCAATCAACCCCCCCCACGTCCCCTTTTCGCCTCCCTCGGGTCGCATGGCCCCCTTCATCTCCTTCAACCGGTCGAAGTTCTAGTCACTTGTTCGCGCCGTCCTTGGATTTCTCCGCTTCTTATCTAGTCTAGCCCCCTTGGGCCCCCCTCCCTTCTTGTCGCTGTTCGGGTTGCGCGCTGTTGGGTTCGTCGTTATCTTCCCTCTCCTTGAAACCTCCCCAGGGTCTCCCGCCTTCCCCCCTCCAATAACGACGTCGGTCGCACGCCCCGGATCTACCGGAGAAATAATCATCACCATCTTCGCTTCTGGTCTTTCTCCGCGCGCAATTTCTCAACTCAACACGTCGCTTTGCTTTCATCAGCGTTATCTCGCATTTCAAGTTATACAATCGCCGTCATCATGTCGGACAGCACGGGCAATAAGGGCGACCCGGCGGTCACTACGCCGGTTCCTCCCATCGAACCTCTACAACTTGCTGTCCCCGGTTTATCATCGGAGTCCACAGAGGTCTTGAATACTACTCCACGCCTGGACAGTACGAGTGATGAGACCCAGGAACTGAGTCTGACAGATGGCAAATCAGCAAATGTCGCCGAAGCCCCCACAGCAACACATGCCTCGCAGCAGAACCCCAGCGATGCTCCGTCTGCCAGCGCATCGGCTGGCGATCACGGTGAACTGAAAGCTCCAGTAGCCGCGGGCGAGGCTTCCCCTCAGAATGTAAAGGAAGAGGACGACTCGGGACCACAGCTAGTCATCACTCTATTGTTGATCACTGGCTCCCGGCACCCGTTCAAGATTGATGCTAAATATCTCAAGAAGCAACAAGTCAATGTTGAAAACCTGGATCCTTTCGCCATGAGCGTGTATACACTGAAGGAACTGATCTGGAGGGAATGGCGACAAGGTATGGTAACCGCTCCTGCGCTTTAGAGTTGGTGGCTGACAATCTGGTCTTGCTAGAATGGGAGACACGGCCGTCCTCGCCTAGTTCGATTCGATTGATCTCCTTTGGAAAGCTCCTGGACGACAAGTCCCCATTATCAGGTACGGCAGTCCCTACGAGCCTCAATCGTGTCTCCATACTGACTATTCTAGACTGCCGATTTAACCGAGATGCTCCTAATGTGGTGCACATGACCGTAAAGCCCCAAGAGATCGTGGACGAAGACGATGCCAAGGGAGCCAAGGCCCAATACACCCGTGAACGTGAATCCAGCGAGCGTAGCCCTGGATGTCGCTGCATCATTCAATGAGCACGGGTTTTCGATTTGGTGCCTCGAAGGTCCCCGTGTCGGAAAGCGGCTACCACAAGGGGATGAATTCCCTTGGGTTCTATGACGTCGTCCTCTCATGCTGTCATCTGCAAAGCCACGTATTCTATCCCTTGCCGTTGATCATATTTCCTATGGCTATAAGCCATTTCTGGGATTTTCCAAGGATACCTAGTCTATCTGCTTCGGCATTAAAGGCGGCGCACCAGGTTAACTACCTGCGCTGTGCGCCAAAGACGGCGTCCGGCTGGTTCTAGCGTTCTGGGTCCAGCAGCAGTCATTGCTCGTGCCCTGCAAGTCATCTGTTCCGGTGTTATCGGTCGCTCACCAGCTTCTATTTCTATCGAGTCGCTTGATGCCACTCATACTTGTTATCTGCTTCACATATACCCTGATATTCCGTCTTCACCCTCCCTCACAATTGGCAGGCCGTTTGTTAGCATTTATTCTTGGTCGATGCAGCGTTCCACCTTCTGCTTATGTCGTTATCATTTGCCTCTGAACCAAGATCAGACCACCCGTGGACTCGAGCGGGTGGTGGTTGCGGACCAGAACTTTGAGGCGGGGTTCCGTTCAGCGGGCTTTCGATATGTACCGCTGTGGTACACGGCGCCGGTTTGTCTTGAAGCGTGTTCAGATGTTCACAATAGTGTCTTGCCGGGCGACCGCCCGGGAATCACATGATGTACAAACTACCACAACTGCACATATATTATGAACCATACTGTTGTTTCCATCGCCGCAGATCCATGCGTACTTGGATTGTAGCTAGTCCTTTTTTTACTGTGTGAAAGGCTACTGCCACCGACGCTGACTGCACCACCGCGTCATATAGAATCTGAAACACAATCCCATTCAGTCGAACCGTTAAAGAACATAGAAACCTAAAAAAATACCATAGCACGAATACCCTCAACCCTAGTCCCAACCAAAGCAATCTATGCTCTAGTCCATACGCAATCTCTTCTCCATCTCATCATGGAAAGTCGGGGGTTCACGGAACTCGTCGCCTGTAGTTCAAGAAAAGTTAGCAGCTGTACCTTTCCACCCTTCGCCCCTTCCCCCCTTCTGCCCTTCCCTACCACCATGGAAAGACTTACCCTTAAAGATATCCTCCCACCCGACCTCTGCATCCCGCCCCCCAAGCACCAAGATATCCTCATGCACGTTGTTCTGCGTACCCCCAATGACGGTAGGGCGGAACGACCCATCCCGCACGATCTTCAGTTCCATGCCGCGGCGGATGGGCTCGGCGATGCCGTACGCCCGCCGCAGCGACTCCATCTTCAGGGCCTCCTGGGTCGCCCGCCAGGCCAGCAGGCGCGCCTCGAGCGGGTGGGCCGAGCTGGGCGTCGCCGTCTGCGCCGACGGCGGGCCCCGGGCTGCTGGGAGTGTCAGGTTGTTCCGGAGCGTGTCGGGCAGCCCCGGCGCCGAGGGGGCGCCCTTCGACGGGTGAGGGAGCGAGACGTGCGCTGAGGGCGTGCGGGTCGTCGTGTTGCTGGTTGAGGTTGGGTGGGCGGCCGGCGGGGCTATGCGGAGGGACTTGGGGGGTGGTTAGTTTGGTTGTTCCGGG